CAGTTACCCCATCCCCCAACCCCCTTGCTCTTTATTTTCTAGGTATTTTTATTTGAGGAGAATTTAACTTCATCAGTAAATCGTAACTGTTGGGGCCAGGCGGGAAGGGAAACTCTTCAAGATGGCAGATACCCCAAAATGGCTGAAGTTCCTGTCACTACCTCCACTTGGGACGCCAATGGACCAATGACCTGCTGACAGCTTGACGCAGACCCTTAGACCTCTCCTTTGGACTTCCCCAACCGGACCCAATGCCCTCCAAACCCCAGAGGAGGAAGTCACCTTTGGCCGAACTGCAATCCTTCCTTTGCATAGTGAGGGTCACTCTGACTGGTTGGGTTGCAATCCTTCCTTTGCATATGAGCCAACCAATAGGAAACCGTTCTGCCTTACAACGTCATGTAAACCCCCTACCACCTTGTCTTGGCGCGACTTCCCCGACTCACTCTTTCCCTCCGTGAGTCGTGGAACCTCGCCCGAGGGTGCCTGCAATAAAATCTGTTCTTGGACCCTCGCTTGCCTTGGCGGTCTCATTTCCATTTAGTTACTAAAAAACCTAACAGTAACAAACCTGTGTTTCCCCCCCTTCTTTCTGGCAACTATCCTAGATCTGTAATATTTTATCAAGCTGGTCTCATTACAGTACACAAATAATAGCACCAACCCCCAAATCAGCAGGGATTTCCATAAGCTTCCTTCTATTGTGGGAGAGGGCCACTCAGGAGTTTGGCTATGAGACTAGTTTTGACCAATGACATCAGAAAATGTGATGCAAGCAGTGCTTTGACAGGCACTTGAACATTACAACTTTTTCTTTTGAAATTCTGTGACAGCCAAGTAGGAAAACCAAGCTATCCTATTAGAGATGCCTAATAGAGGAGAACAGAGCTTCAGTTCTCAATAGCCTCAGCTGCCAGTCATGTGAATGAGACCATCATGGACCATTCAGCTCTGCTCAAGCTGCCAGGTGACTGCTGCTGTGTATGTGATCTCAAGTGAGACCAGCAGAACTACCCAGTGAAGCTCAGCCCAAATTTCAGAATCATGAGCAAATACATGGCTTCTGTTTGAAGCCACTAAGTTTTTTAAAATGTAAAACTATTTACTGATCACTGTTCACCAATATTTATAATAAAGTAAGCAACACACAGTAGGATAACATTCTGATTACTATAGTTACTGGTTTTCCTGACTTCCACTGAACCACTAACACAAATATTGAAAAGAATGAGTCTGCATGTAAAGAATGGGTTAGGTAAAGAAAAAATACACAAAGCAATAGTTTAAATACAAAAGTTTGCTCATTTATGTTAGTAGGTCTGAAACAGCAACATTTCTAATCATTTGATTGGTTTCATCAACAAAGACTTTCCACAAATCATGATCTCTTAGTCAGTATAGCCCGGGGATTTCAACCTTTCGAGAAGGAATGGTTCTCTAGAAGGAACTTTGAATGCCAATTTAACTAAGCCTTGTTTGGCTTATCAAAACACACCATTATTTGTTTAGTGTTCTCCTCTGAGTAGTGAGGTTATTGGTAGTTGTAAAATTTTTCCTTTCAGAGAGTTTTGCAAATAAACTGTTGTATTAATGTAATTATAGATTGGGATTGTGGTAAGTCTTCTTTAAATGGTCCAATTTAGATAGTTTTTATTTAAATTGTGCAATTAATTATAGAATCATCTATTTGCTTGAAAGTTTATGGCTTCAGGAAGATTTTCAATTTAACTTGAGGCGATCTATTTCTTGCTTTGTTCAGAATGATGGCATCTCAGAAACAACATGGACTTACTCATGGTTGTGGAATGCATCTTTGTTTTCGTGAATGTAAAAACAAAAACAAAACCCAACAACAACCATTTATACTTGTATTTATATATACACACAAAAGCACACAAATAAAAAGCCAGAATAGTACTTAGCCATTATAGATTAAATATAAGTTCTGATTGAGTGATGACTATGGAATTTTTTTTTTAAAAGATTTTATTTACTTATTCTTGAGAGAACAGAGAGAGAGGCAGAGACAAAGGCAGAGGCAGAAGCAGGCTCCCGGAGGGGGAGCCTGATGCAGGACTCAGTCCCGGAAATCCAGGATAATGCCCTGAGCCAAAGACAGACTCTCAACCACTGAGCCACCCAGGTGTCCCTGAAGATTTTTTTTCTAACATTTAGAAAAACTGCTCTTGAATGCAGAAACTGTAATATACCATGGTATCACATGTTCTTTTCTGATAAATGAGCAACTACAGTAATCTTTTATTTGTCCAAAGTAATCAGTGATATTGATGCAGAAACCAAAAAAAAAAATAAATAAATAAACAAAAACCCAACAATTCCCTTGATACTACTCAAAATGAACAGATTAAATTCAATTTTCATTAGAATATAATTATTCACACTAATAAGTCATAGAACCAACCAAGACCCATATATATATATGAATGTTTGTTGAACATCTTCTGGACAAAAATGCAGTTTGTCTCTCTTTATAAAAAGCAATTACAATTTGAGGACACTTCATGTTTGTCTCTTTTGCCAGCACCAAGCCTGTTGCATCTGCATCTCTCCATTTCATGAGAAAGATTCTCTACTATTGTCTGTGACACTAAGTATTTGTTCAGGACCAAGGCCACCAGCAGAGTGTCTCGGTTTGTCAGCTGCATTTGTTTTATTCTTTGATTTGCTGTCAGCAGATTCACTGTTGGATAAAAATTTTCTTTTTGTCCTTTTTCTTTAATGGCTTTTTCAGAATTAAGAAGTAGTTTAACTCCGAATGATCTAAATTTTCTTCAGGTTTTCAAGTATTGTCAGAAACTGCAAATCTCTTCCATTTACTTCATCCTCCCATTCTCCACACATTGATACAGTGTTTTTTTTCCCTGCCACCAAATCTTCAGGCTCTTCAACTCCCTTACTCCTTTGGTCTGTTTCTTTTCCAATTTTTTGCAATGCAGCTTTATTGGAGGCCAATTGTGGACTTGAAGAATTATATTACTCACTGCTTCCCTGCAGCTCTAGCCTGGGTTTGTGGCCTTTCAGATTATGGGGGCCACATCTCCTGGGGGTGGGCCATGGAGAGCTGTGCAAGAGGAGTTTTGGGGGTTAGGTGTTATGCAGCGAGAAACTGATACAGGCACACTTATTTATACTCTATATTTTAAGATGGCTAATGAGAATAAAAATCAAGTCAGTTGAAGATAACTAGTTGTGGTACTGGGTCATTTTAAACAATTTTTCAAATTGAATAAAGAACAAACTCATCTTCCTTTGCTGAGAACAAGTGACTGGCAAATGGTTCACTGGGGCCGCTCAGACTGCCATACTGGCACGTAAGACTGATTCAGACTTGACCTCTCAAGAAGATACCACCAATGCTTCCACCAATAGTTGCCATAACATTGTAGTACACTTCTTCGGGCAGTTTTGTATCTCTCCTCTTGGCAATTATCTTGAAATCTCTTCTAAAGATATGAAAGGAGTTTCTGTTTGTATCCACATATCCATACAATTTGGAATTATTGTACAGAGAAATGAGAAATTGCCCTGATGAATCGGACCTAGTCTCAATTTGATGAAATAGTAAGGCAATTCATTTCACCCATTAACTAAGAACTTCACCCAATTTGCATTTTTCCTGAGCCATTTAAATCAAAGACTATTACATAATGGGTGAGAATGAAAAGTTCACATGAACTTGAGAGGTAAACATGAGATATCAAAGAAATCCTATAGGAGCTGGAGGTTACTTTGGTCTGCCTTCTCCTACTTCTCCCTTCAGGAACATGAATGGCATTTGGCCACAATTTGCCTCTTGCCAATTCTATGCTCCGCCATCTACTGCTCCATCCTCCTCACTTTCCAGCACTAATTACATTCCCCAGGCATACATGCCTTCACTCTTGTTCCTACTGTATTCTACCTTTAATAGCATCTATGCCTAGCTCCCTTCCTTCCCTCCCCCAAGATTCAAATCCAAGTTTCTAACAGTCTCTCTGTAAAACAGAAAATATACTTAAACAATGGTACCCAAACTTTCGGAGAATTGAAAGATCCCTGTCTGCCACTTTGGGCTTAGCGAATTTACGTGTCACTCTCAAGTCCAAAATGTTCACTAAAGGCTTTTAAGAAATGAAAGTAAACAACTAAACGAGTCCTCCCAACAATGACAATTTTGCTAAGGCACTACATGCCCGCGGTAAGGCTATTCAATGAAACGCAATAAAGGCTTTGGCCGAAAAGGGAGTACTGTATGTTCAGTATTTTGCTAAAGCTATCTGACTTGACCTTTTGGCGGCGTTCTAGGCCACAATTTTTAGCAACAGGGCAGCGGTTGAGGTCAGGTCAATGGAGCGAGAAGGCTCAGACACCGAGATGCTCCAGCACCCTGGAAGGCCCCCGTGACGTCACAACTTCTTGGCTACGACGTTCTCAGGGACGAGCTTTGTCTCACTGGCCCACATTGGAAACCACAAAAAATCACTAGCAAACGAGGTGGAAGAGGCGGCGCAGGGTGTCCGGGCGTCTGTTTTCTCCGCGTGGGGACACACGTGCTCGCTACGGAGGAAACCCCACCCGGCGAGGCCCGCCCGGAGCTCCCGCCGCCGCCTTCCCGCGACCCGGGCGCGGAGGCAGCGTGCCCGGCCCGGCCCGGCCCGGCCCGGCCCCCCGCGCCGCGGCGCCGGCAGCTCGACTCGCTCGGGGTCCCGCGGCAGCTGGAAGGCGCCGGGACGCTCCCGGCCGACACCACACGGCCGCTCGGACGGCCCCCGCCGCGGGCCCGGCGCTCGCTCTTCCTCCCGGGTTTCGGGTCGCCCCCAGAGCGCAGGCGCGCGGGGAAGGAACCGCGCTCCCCTCGCGCCTTCTCGAGGGCCGAAGGGGCGGGCCCTGGGCGGCGGGCGCCGAGGCCCCGCCCCGCCCGCGCGGGCTGCCGGATTCGCCCCGCCTCCTCGGCGGCGCGAGCCGCCGCCCCTCTTCCTCCTGCGCCACTGTGCCGGGCGGCGGCCCTGGTGGCGGGTCGCGCTGCGAGTCTCGCGTGGGAGGCGGCCGGCGCGGGTCCCGGCCCTGCGGAGAGCGCGCTGCGCGCCCCCTTCTCCCCGGGAGCGACGGGCCGCGGAAGTGACGTGTGCGGGAGCAGGAGCTCGTTTGAATCGGTTCCCGGGTGATCCTCGCGCCTGCCGCTGCTCGGCCGCCGCCTCCGCCGCTGAGGGAGGAGCTGCAGCGCGCCGGGCTAGAGGCCTCGCACCGCCGCGGGGGCTGGAGCCGAGGGCGCCGCGCGGAGTCTGCACCTCGGCCCCGAGCCCGGCCGCGGCAGGCGCCGGCGCCGGCGCTGCTGTGTTTTTCTCCTTTCCCCCAATATGGCAGCGGCCGCCGGCGGCGGCGGCGGCGGCGGCGGCGGCGGGCGGCCCTCAGCGGGGACTGGCGAGGACGGCGGAGGCGACGGCTGCAGGACGGTGTACTTGTTTGACCGGCGCGAGAAGGAGTCCGAGCTCGGGGACCGGGTGCTGCAGGTCGAGGAGCGCTCGGACTACGCAAGGTTCCGCGCCTCCGTGTGTCAGGTACACGAAGGGGCCAAGGGAGGATGCGCGGGTGGAGTTTGGGTTGGGAGGGGTGACGAGACACTCGAGTTGCTCACCAAGGGCAATAAACCTGTCACCTGGCCCTAGTTCTGCGGCCTTGGCTTCGCTCTCCCGGGTGCCCGCCGTGCCCCTGGCCCGGCGGCTGGACGCCTCGGGCCGGCCCTGGCCTCGGCCTGGGAGCGCAGAGCCAGCGGCCCCGTGGGCCTCCCCCTGCCCTGTTCCCGGGTCGGGGTGGGGGGTGGTTCTCGCCGCCTAGGATTTCAGACCGTCGTAACTGGCCGGTGGCGACCTTAGCACCCTAAGGCCTTAGTACTCTAAACTCCTCTTCCAGTAGGGAACGCCGCTTGGGTCTCTCCGCGTGCAACTTTTCAAAAAATAAAGAGCGCAGACTTGGAACCCGATGGCTCTGTTAGGAGGATGGGCGATGGTTCAGGGTTCTGAAATTCCTGCAGTCGATTTACCTCAGGTTCATGAAATGGTACCGAAATTCCCCGGGTCGTCCTGTCAGGGAGGTTTTGTGGGCCCGCCCCGGCAGGGTCCTTCCGTAGTGAAAACACTTGTCCGAGTCAGCTTGGCAGGTGGAGCTGCCCTTCTGCTTTTCTTGAAGCCTTGGCCCTATGAGAGTTTTAGAACTAACTCGACAGGTGTCTGTGGAATAGACACTATACACCTCTGTGATCTATGTATCTCCACTTAGTTTGCTTTAAAAATTAACGATGACTGTGTAGGAAAAGCTGCTTTGAACTGCGAAGAATTTTATAGGGAGGAGGTGGTGATGGTGCCTGAGCTTTAAAGAAGGGTGGTAGTCCTTCCGCCTCTTTAACCACATGAATGAAGTTCTTTTTAAGCGACAAAGAACACTTAGCTTCCAAGGAAAGAGAACTTTGTGTGAAGCATTGTTTTAACTTGATTACGCTCATGATTTAGTACTGTCCTAGACACGGAACTCTGGAGTTGCTGAAATAATTGAAATCGAGACCCATATAATAAAAGGGACTTGACAGTAAGGATTTTACTTCGTTCACAGCTGTATTCCCAGTGTCTAGAACTGTGCCTGGCACGTGGTAAATGTTGAAATTAGAATAAATGTTTGAGTGAAGAGAAGTGTTTAAAGAGTGAAATCATTCTATGCCTGAATATAGCGGATTCCCGTGTACATATGAAAACCGAATGAATGAATGAATGCGCCTCTTTTGCGATGACCGTTTTCCATTCAAAACCTCACCCCCCAAAAAGGGAAACTCTTTATTATTTTTATTGTTAAAAAGATCACATTAAAGAAAATATGGAACTATAGGGGGAAAAGTAGACCTTTTCTTCACGGTAAAGTTTATAACTACTGGTAGCACTTAGGGTTATTTCTTTGTGGGTACTTACCCCAATTTTTTTGTAGCTGTAATGCATATTTATATGTATATTAATATTGTTGGTTTTCTATTTGAATGCAAGTCTTCATAATCAAAGTTTGAGATGGTTGTTGAGTACCACTTTACATAGCCAAATCCCTTCTTTCTTTCTTTTTTTTTTTTAAAAGATTTTATTTATTCATGAGAGACACACAGAGACACACGCACACACACACATGCAGAGACACTGGCAGAAGGAGAAGCAGGCTCCGTGCAGGGAGCCCGATGCGGGACTCGATCCCGGGTCTCCAGGATCACACCCTAGGCGGAAGGCAGGCGCTAAACCGCTGAGCCACCCAGGGATCCCCCCCAAGTCCCTTCTTTTTTGTCGACATTTACATTACTTTCAATTTTAAGTAATGCCATAAATATCTTTGAATACATAGTCTTTTATTTTTCTTTAGTTTAGCCTTCTGGAAGTGAAATTCCTCGAAGGTCAGGAATATTTTTAAAGCTCTTGATAGGTATTTTCAGATTGGTTTTCAAAAAGGTTGTATTAATTTACCCTCCCTCTAGAAAGAAGTTCTCCCGTGAGAAATCTCACTGTGAGATAGGGGAAGTATTATTACACAAGTGGAAACTCACTTTTGGAGGTGGGTGACTCATTTAAGTCAAATAGATAGTACAGTCTCAAATTAGGATTCAAATTCAGAACCATAGTCTTTCTGTTATACCGCTTTGCCTCAAATGAAGTTGTAATAGGGAACATATATTTCATTCCTTCAGTATTTCTAAATATTTTATTTAATTGAGAGAGAGCATGCAAGTGAGCATGAGCCTGGGAGAAAGAAGGGAGAAACCGACTTCACACTGAGCAGGGAGCTCAATGTGGGCCTTCATCCCAGGACCCCATGATCAGGACCTGAGCTGAAGGCAGAGACTTAACCCACTAAGCTACCCAGGTGCCTCATTCCTTCAGTATTTTAATTTTAAAGCCAAGGAAAATATTTCTTTTGACTAATTCCTTCTTCCTACTTCCTGCTGGAAGAGAGAAAGGTTAAATTTGATTAAAAGTGAGAAGGAAGAATTAGAAAAAAAAAAATGGAAGGCTAACTTTTTTCAGATAATTTACTTTTTAAAGCATTCATTAGGTTATGTAATTATGTAACCTAATCCCATAACCTTGTTTCCATTCCTACATGAAGAACTGAATTAAATTACTGAATTAAGTCTAAGGTTATACAGTTACTAAGCAGTGAAACTAGGATTAGAATCTAGGTCTGTTTGATCCTGAAGCTTGTTATTTTCATTAAAAAAACCTCCAACAGTGCCCACACTGTTTACTAAAGCCTTCGTTTTCCATGCAAGTGTGTGGGGGAGGGGAGGTAAACTAGTGCGTTGAATTAAAGTCTTTCATTAGAATTCAAACCAATACGTGTTTGTAGTGCTAGAAAGTATTATGGATCCCAAACGGTTATTGGGGGGAAAGCTCAGTTTGTGGAAAAAAAGGGAACAATCAAGAGGAAGGAAGAAGAAAGAGTTTAAAAAAAGAAAAAGGAGGAAAGAGTAGATCTAGAAGAATCCCTTAGACCTGTGATAAGCAGCTGTTGACTCACCTGAACCCTTGTGGCCTTGGGGAATCGAAGATCAGAAGATGATTCCTTTGACTGGTTCTTAAGATCTATCCAGACGTTATGGGGCACCTGGGTAGTCAGTCGGTCAAGCGTCTGCCTTGGGCCCAGGTCATGACCCCGGGGTCCTGGGATCAAGCTTCACAGGGGCTCCCTGCTCAGCAGGGAGGCTGCTTCTCCCTCTCCCTCTGCAGCTACCCCTGCTTGTGTGCACGTGTTCACTCTCGCTGTCTCTCGCTCATGCTCTCTCTCTCTGTGTGTCAAATAAACAAAACCTTTAAAAAAATAAAAAAGATACATCCAGACATTAAGCCGCAAGTATGCAAACCTTTCCCTCCATCTCCATTTTTGAGGAAATGCCTACTTTTTCTTTCGTATGGTTTCACTATACCTTGTGACCCCTCCTTTAGCACTTATGCCATTGTACTTAAAAAAAATTCTGTATGCTCCTTGAGGGCAGGAGCCTTACCTAATACTTGGTTTATAGCTGTTCAGTTACATGAATCACTCTTCCTTGGGGGAAAAAAAAAACAACTTGTACGTAGGGTACATATATTAAAAATTCCAGAAGATGAAGGGCAAACCTGGCTGGCTCAATCTGTAGAGCATGTGACTGTTGGTCTTGGGGTTGTGGGCTTAAAAAGGCAGAGACTTAGATGATTTAAAGAAGAGATGTTGGATGTAGATGTAGATGTTGGATTTAGAGATTGGATGGAGAGATTACTTAAAAATAAGATCTTAAAAAAAAAAAAAAATTCCAGAAGAGGAAGAAGCGTAAAAGTAGATGTAGGAAGGAATAAAACAGTAACCTGAGGAGAGTTAACATACTTTGATAATATCCTACGCCATTGCTGAGCCATGAAATTAGCTTTGAGTTTTTTAGAGGTCAAAAGGACAGATAATTTATATAAAAACTACAATGTCTGTAAAATGAAAATGTTCCAATTGCTAGTAAAGCAAAGCTTTGACATGAGAAAAATCTCTCCCTAGATTCCTTACAAATCCTGATAAAATGGACAACATTCCTAAAGATAGGAAAGTCGTCTGCTTATTTCCTTTAACACAGGTAGGATATATGTTATTTTGGGGTTTTTTTAGAGGTTTCTCACTCAAGTGCACTATGGGCGTTCCTGGTCTGTGAGTGATTTAGGGACAAAATCATTGGCTATGATGTCAAAGGATAAATCATTAAAAGCTAGTTTGCAGAGTTTCAGAGCAACTTATTGAAGTGTATGGTTTCTGACTTAATAATTTTATCCATTAAAAGCACTTGCATCTGTTTTACCAGTTAACCCCAAAAAAGATGGGACCAAAGTATTCTTATAAATATGAAAAAAAAAATAAACCTAATCAAGACTCTTGCCCAGATAGAGTGTTATCCTGCTTTCATACAGGAAAAGGCAGAGGAAGTATATCTGTATTCAAGGCCAGGTTAATACACACATGGAAGACTTTCATTTATGTCTGATAAGATAGAATTTAGACTAAAAATATGGAGAAAGGTCTGCCATCTTGAATAAAAGCATAATGTATAATGTAAAAAGATTTAATTTGTATTTGTCAAATATCAAACCTTTTAAATATTTAGAAAAATTAGATTTATAGGTAAAGAAAAAGGTTAGCATCTTAATTGAGTAATAACAGATTAATGGAGAAGAGTGTATGGAATAATTAGATATAAATACAGGTATATGTAGATCTTAATTCAGCTTGGCATATAATTTTTCAGTAACTGTAAGAACAATTTTTGTTTTTGGGATGCATAAGCACATGATCTAATAATCGGGACACTGTAGTAATAAAGTAGTACTAGCTAAAAAAGAGACTCATTGCACAAAACCTAAAAAAAGTTCTGTCAAAAGAGTTTTTATTTATTAAACAAGTAAAGTTTTATTCCCCATCAGTTTATATCTGTAACTTCATTTCTGTAGGATGAAATTGCATGGAAGATGGTATCTTTAAATTTAGTAAAATACTAAAGTATTTACTCTATTGCTTTTCAATATAGTTGTACTGATTTTCAGTCTTCTCAGCAGTGTTTAAAGTCCAACTGCCTTACATGGAGGCCTATATAGTATCAGACCTTAAAAATTTCCCAGCCTCGTGGGAATGATAAGTTATTTTAATTGCTCTAACAAGTGAAGATGAGCATCTTTTCATATTTTCTATTTTTTTCCTTTATGGCTTGTACTTTTTTATATATTTTCAGAAATCGTTTTCTCTACTCAAAATTATTCCCCTATGTTTTCCTCTAAAATTTTGAGTTACTCAGTGTCTTTAATTCTTTTGATATTTCTTTTTGTATATGTTGGGATGGGGATTTTATTTTACCTATTTTTATGCAGTTAATTAGCTGTTTTAATTACCTTCTTTTTGCCACTATCTCCATGTATATATATGTGGATCTATTTCAGGGTCCACTGGTCTGTTGTAGTATATTTTATGTTACAATTTTTTTTTAAATAAAAAGCTTCAAACATATATAGACAGTAGTATAATGAACGCACATTAACTCATTGTCCATATTCAGCCATTACCAAGTATTTACCACACAAGCATCATTTTTGTCTTTTGTAGCATATTCCAGTTCTTGATTCACTTTGCTCCTATGTATTTCACATGCATTTCTGTGATCATACCATCAAAATTAACATCATAAAATATTTTGTAATAGCTTAGTCCATATTCAGATATAGCCTGTCTCAGAATGTCTTTTTATATTTGGTTTATTTAAATCAAGATTCCAACAGAGTCCTGAAATGTTGAATTTGTTTTTTTAAGTACTTTGTCTCTTAAGATTTAGAGTGTTTGAGCAAAACCCTCGTCCCTCAATCTCTTTATTTCTCCTGACATTGGCCTTTTGAAGAAATTAAGTAGGTTTTTCTTAAATAATGCACATTTTGGATTTGTCTGTGCTCCTTTATGGTGCAGCTCGTTCTATCTCCATATATTCTGTAAACAAGTTATTTTTAAAGGTTTCTTTTTTCTTTTTTTTTATTTTTAAAGGTTTATAAACAAAATTTAGGTTCAACTTCTTTGAGGTATGGGAGCAAAGAATACTTTATAGGTGGTGCTGGTACTTCATGTTACATCGTATCAAGAGCCATGCGATAAATGAATATTCCCCCCACCCTTAGCAGTGCTAGGATCATATTAGTGGAATTGAGGTAGTTTCAGCTGGATTTCTCCCTAATAAAAGTTTGGGCTGACGGTTCACCTACCGAAGGTAATATTCTGATTGTCATTCCTCTTTATTAGCTAGAATTCTCTAAAGAACAACTTTGCCTCATCAAGTAGAGCCACTTGGTTACCCTTAACTACAGTTGGTATAAAAAAAACAGGATAAATGCTTTATTTTTCCCTTCAATTAATGTTCAGTAAGGAGTTGGTGCCTTAATTAGTTTTAGTAGGAACCAATCAGCTATTAAAGATTTGGGTATCATTAGTCTAGATTTTTTTTTTTTTTTTTGTCTTTGGTGGTAAGATTGGTCTAAGTTTAGTTCATCATTACCTGAAGCAGAAGTTGATCCTTTCACTTAACTGTACATTGTTGTTTAAATTTAGAAAGAGCATGTCTTTTAATTTTAAAGATATATAAAATTTTAATGACAATGTTAACTCGTTTTTCTAATTCTTATTTCTTGATTAGTTTTAAAATCTCAGTTTTTTGTGTTGATTGGTCATTAATTTATATTTTCTCCTTTTGATCATGACTTATTACTCTTTCTCTGTTGGTTTTCATCTTGTTTTATGAAGGCTTTTTGCTTCCTAAGGATGCTCTTTCTCTTGTTGCAGTTCCCTCTCATAATTTCTAATTTGCCTTAATTTTTAAAAGTTATTTTTTTGGAAGGGGTTATAATAGATAAAAAGATTCTTTAATACAGAAAATCTTGCATAGCATGACTGTCCTTACCTTAGTGTTATAAAATACTAACCTCTATTTTTTCCAGTACTTTTGTTTTTATGTATTCAAATATTTAATCTGTATGAACATAAACTTATTTGCTTCAAGTAAGTTTACTTATGTATTGACATGAAATAGCATGCCTTTTGCCTAGGAGGCCTTGTTCATATTAAAACGCTTTAGAAAATGTTCCACCTAATCATCACATTCCTAGGTGCCCTATATCTGACTAGCAGAAAAAAACGCTAATGAACAAATAGGTAATTAATAGATAGAACTGTGCTTAATTATGCAAAGGAAAAATTTTGAGGTACCAAGACTTAACATTTCTTAGGCATATGTAGTAACTTATAAGATTATGATATACTATCAATATTTTCCTATTCTTATAAACTTGAATAACATTTATTTCCTTTGTATAATACTTTTTGTGTAATAATTGATTTTGTTCCTGTTATTTTGGATAGACACTTGGCATTTCACCTGAAGAGAAATTTGTTATTACAACAACAAGTAGGAAAGAAATTACCTGTGATAATTTTGGTAAGCAGTGTTTAATTGATATCTTTATATATTTTTTTATATCTTTATATTAAATATGTTCTAGTACATCATACGACAATAATGATTTCATTACTCAGATAAGTATCTAAAACTTTTGAAAATTTTGATTACTGTGTTGGGATGGAGAGGGAAACTGACTATATGTACACAGTTTGTGCAGATGTCATATTTTTTCTTTCCTTTTTTTTTAATATTTATTTTAAAGAGCACACGCTTGCTGAGGGTGGGGGGAGGAAGAATAGAGGTCAGAGGGGAGAATCTCCAGCCGACTTCCCACAGAGCATGGAGCCTGATGTGGGCTAGGTCTCACTACCCTGAGATCATGACCTGAGCTGAAGCCAAGAGTCTGATGCTTAGCCGACTGAGCCACACAAGCACCCCAAGGTCATATTTTCAAACAAGATTATAGATACATAGTTATCAGTTCTGCAGCTGCAGAAGATGAGATGTGCAACACCTGGCCACAGTTCTTTTACATGGGCCTTCAAGAAGTTAATTCTCACAAACTTGAATTCTTCCATTATCTTTTTTTATCCGGTTAGATCCCAGGATCTGCCAGATTTTCATGTGTGATTCCTTTTGAATTTAATCCTACTTCTACATTCATGTTAATGCCACTCTAATGTAGTTCATCATATTATTTCCTGTGATAGTTTAACTTACTAAGAATTGAGTGTTTCAAATGAATGGAAGTATTTGGGCCTATTCTAATATACTATTCTTTTTTTTTTTTCCAATATACTATTCTTAATAAAACACAACTGAATTTATAGACAGATCCTTTGTTTGAGGGTTTGCATGTACCATCTTTAAAGATATCTTAGGGATACAATTTGCATATTCAAAATTATAAATTCATTGTGTTTCTGACACTAGTGTAGCACTTTAAGATATTACTTCTTAATTACAGATGACACTGTTAAAGATGGAGTCACTCTATACCTGCTACAGTCAGTCAATCAGCTACTACTAACAGCTACAAAAGAACGAATTGACTTCCTACCTCACTATGATACACTGGTTAAAAGTGGCATGTATGAATATTATGCAAGTGAAGGACAAAATCCTTTGCGTAAGTATTTATACTAATTTCAACAACTATTACTGTCTTTTATCCCTTAACCACATGCACATTCCTTCACTGTTTAAAAATTCTCTTTCTACTTTATTAGAAGATTATAACTAGTCACTGTATACTTCCTTATTTCAACTTCTTCATTACAGTATGTTTCTTTTTCTAAGTCATCTTCAGAGTAAAGATACCTCTCCTTTAAAACTAATCTAGTATAATAATCCATTCCATTTTAACTCATAAGAAATGTACTTATATATCTTTTCATCTTCTGTATACTCCAATGTATCTATCCTGGCCTTCTGTAGATGTCTCCCAATTGAGAAAATATTTTTTTACCTTGCAAACTTGTATAGCTGAACTACACCAGTAAGTGGTCTGTGTTCTGGTCTCCGTTTCTTTATTATTTCTTTCCACCTTTACTTCTCACAAGTTTTTATCCTACCTTTGAACTCTTTGCTAGTGATCTTTACAAATCAGTTGATTTAGAGAATCTTTTCTGTCTGGACCCTGCCAAAATGTTTTATACTGTTGGATGTTTATTATAAACTTTCTTATTAAAAATATTTTTTTACAGTATATGCATTATAGTTTGTAGGAAATTAGATAAGCAGAAAGAACATTAAAGAACATCATATCTCTACCACCCAGATAGAACCACCACTTACACTTTTGGTGTTTATCATTTTAAACCTTCTTATATGTTTTTTTCACTTTTAATGGTTTTATATGGAGCATATTTCTTTAGCCTACTTTTTTGTTTAAAATAAAATGAATAGCTTAAATATATGTCAATGTATATTTGTTTTTAGTGTTTACAAACTATATAATAGAAATTTCTTTGAACATTGTTCTTTGAGACATTTAGGTTGTTTTTAGTCTTTTTTGTTGTTAAACATGACTGAATATTTTTTGTCTAAACTGTACACATTCTCACCTTAAGTACTGGTTTTATTATCAGCCGCTTTGCCAAGTTCTATATGAATATTATATCATTTAATCCTTAATCCTATGTGGTGACTAATGTTACGTAATGACCCTAGTTTGCAGAAGAAACTTGAGGCTAACAGATTTTAGGTAGCTTGAGAAAGGCCACTCTGGTAGTAAGTGTTAGAGCCAGGATTTGAACCCTAGCAGAGAAATTACAGAGCTTGAACCCTAGCAGAGGAACTACATAATTTGAAGTCTACTTATTGCCTCTGATACTGTTCCTTATATACAAAAAAGCTCCCATCTTCTCCCATCTTAAAAACATCATATTCTTTTAGCAGCTACTGCCCAGTTTTTTTACTCCTATTTCTAGCAGAATTCCTCAAAAGAGTTGATTGTATTTACTAACAACAGTGATGCTCCACTTCCCATTCTCTCTTATTTGCTTTCTTGTACTTACTCTCTGAGGGTCACTGGTGGCTAAATCCAGTGATCAGTTTTCAGTTCCCATTTTACTCACAGTATTGACACAGTTTATCATTTTTCTTCTTTGATAAAATAATCTTCACTTAGGTTTTGAGAAGCCATACTCTGTTTTGTTTCTACCTCATTGGCTGGCTTCTTTCTGTTCTTCCCATCTTTTTCTTTAATTGAGATTTAATTGCTCTGCCTTCTCAACCTTCTTAATATTGAAGTGCCTCATGGCTTAGTCTTTGGTCCCTTATCTTCTCTTAGGTCCTTAGTGATTGTGTCCAATATGCTTCTAAATACCATCTTTATGGCAGTGACTCCTCAGTGGAGGTGGTAGAAATGGTAGTCCTTTTTTTAAGATTTTATTTATCCACTTAGCATACGAGTGAGAGAAGGGGCAGAGGGAGAGGGACAGAGAATCTCAAGCAGATTCCACACTGACTGTGGAGCCCACCGCAAGGCTTTATCTCATGACCCTGAGATCATGACATCAGTTAAAATCAAGAGTTGGATGCTTAACTGACTCAGCCACCCAGACACCCCAGAAATGCTAATTTTTAGTCAAATATTGAAAATAATGCCAGACTTACCTCCTGAATTCCAATTTTGTCTATCCAACTGCCCATGTGGTATCTCTACTAGATTAACTTAAGATGGAAACCTGATTGGTTCACTGAATCCTAACTACACATAATTTTCCAATTCAAATTGATTATTGTTCTTTTCTTTCAGTAGCTTAGGCCAAAAATCAAATTGATTCTTCTTTGTCTGATACTTTTCATTCAGTCTGTCAGAAAATCCTGTTGGCACTATCTTCAATGTCTATATAGAAATGACAATTTCTTATCACTTTTGTTTCTAAAACCTGATCTTGAGGAATCATCACCTAGATTATATAGACTTTTAATTAATCTCTCTTTTTATACCTGTCCACATAATGTTTGTGAGGTCAGATATGTTACTCTTCTATAGTAAAAACACTGATGGCTTCCCATTTCACTGAGAATAAAAGCCAGTCTTAATAAAAGCCAGTCTTAATAACTCTTTATTACGTTCTCAACAAAATTTAACCTTGATCACCCTGCTTAAGATTGCAGCTGTGTTCCCTCAATGACTTTACTGTTATTTGATCTCCCCCCCCTCACTCTTTTCTCCATTACATATACCACCATTTGTTAATTATGATTGTATTGCATTTTTATTGTATTGTATGATTGCATTGATTTTCCATCTTTCTCATCATTTTCCATCTTTCTAAATAGGTTAAGTCTACAAGAACAGGATTCTTGTCTGTTTGTTCTGTTCCTAGAATAATACTTGAAAATAAGTTTTTAAATATTTGCATATTTAATGAATCTTTAATTCTTTCTCTGGGGATAGATTGTTAAATGTGTAATAATGGAGTCAATAAGTAGGTTCATTTTTAAGACTTTTGATGTAGATTAATTACCTTCCAGATTGTTGTACCAGTTTTCATCCCTGTTGTCATTATATGAACAAGCAGAAAAATCTCCCTGTTTAACCCCTTCCTTTGATTACTGTGATTTTACACTACATTCCTAGGTCTTTCCCTGCTTTTGTTTCATTTGCCTTTAATGGTGCTTTTGTTTATTCGTGACTATATGGTGGATATTTCAAGTCATATTGCTCTTTTTTTAATACTTTTAATGTGCTGATCCAAGGTTTAACTATTCTGTCAGAGAAGCAAAAATTCTTAAGTCTGGCCATTTTTATTCTCTTAAGCCCGGTATCTGTTCTCCCTCCCTATGGAACACTTCTACTCATTGAGCTTGATACAGTATTAGGGTATCACATCTAAAATGGAATGTTTTTTTTTTTTTTCTTCCTCTCTGAATTTTCCCTTTATGAGAAATGTGACCATTTATCCAGTCTTTTTAGAGGAAAGACTCAAAACCATCTTGGATTTCTCTTTGTGTGTGTGTGTGGGGGGTTAATTTTATATCTAAGTTGATACCAAATTCTAATAATTTCTTCCCTTCAAATTTCTTTTAACTCTTTTTTGCCTCCGATTTCTTAACAGTGTCCCTCCCATTTCCTACAATGTCTCTTCTCCCATTTTCTACACTTACCTACCATTGGCCAAATCCTTATATCTGATTTGTAGTAACTTCTTTCTAGTTTATAAGCAGTGTTCAGAGTGTGCAATGCTTGCTGGGGTGCTACTCTATGGATTAATTACAGTGTTAGTTGGGTTACACTTCAGTAGAAGTAAGAGACATAAATTTGGTGTGTTCTCCTCTTTAAGAAAATAAAAGCAGGAAATAGTTTGAGTAATGACCTTAAAGAAAGAATATTAGTTAATAATACAGAGCCAGTGATAAGTTGAGTATCAAGTTGGTTGTGTAGTAGGAAATAATTGGCAATTTTGTGTCAGTTAGAAACATCCTGCCATTTGACAAGTTGCCATTAATCATATGATATCTATATATAAGTTCTTAATAGACATTTTTATAGTTGCTTTATATTTGCAACCCCTGCCCCGCCCCATCTCTAAATGTGTTCACTTTTGACTTGTGCATGATGTATTACATACCACAAACTAGTATTTGATTTTATGGTTATGGTCTTCTGTTTGTCTTCTGTCTGTATGTCTGTCTTTAGATTATAAACTCCTTGAAGCCAGGAATCATGGCTGGCTGACTCATGCCGTGTAGTGCCTTACAAGTACTGGTTGATGACTGCTTTTTTATGCTGGTGGTGATTGGTGATGATGCCTTTATTATGTATTATATCATTAGGATCAGGATAATACTTTAATTCTAGCTCTTTGGAAAATAAAAGTGATGGCTTAAGGTACTTCAGAGTTTCTTCTACTTTGAACTTTTAAGTGAAGTGTTTGGGAAGGAAAAGTTAACCAGTAATGTCTTCTTATTGTCTTCCAGCATTTGCTCTTGCAGAATTAATTGACAATTCATTGTCTGCTACTTCTAGAAACACTGGTATTAGAAGAATACAGATCAAATTGGTAAGATAATAATACTATAAAGAAATTTAACTTTCCCTTTTATAAAAGTACTACAAGTTGGCTGTAGAAATTAGAAAACTCAAAATAGAAATAATTATCTGATGTCTTTTCAATATTAAAATTTTTATGTGCCCTTTTTTCTATAAATATGTATACATGTATGTGTGATCATAGGGTACATTTTGGTTTTTTTGTGATCTACCTTCCCTTGACGTTACAATATAGACATTTGCCATATCATGAATATTCTTTTTTTTTTTTTTTTAAGATTTTATTTACTTATTCATGAGAGACACAGAGAGAAAGAGAGGCAGAGACACAGGCAGAGGGAGAAGCAGGCTCCATGCAGGAAGTTCAACGTGGGACTCGATCTGGGGTCTCCAGGATCATGCCCTGGGCTGAAGGCGGTGCTAAACTGCTGAGCCACCTGGGCTGCCCTATCATGAATATTCTGCAGTGTAATGTTCCATTGCTACAGTTTCATCTGTTGACTGTATTATAAATTATGTATATTTTGTTGAAGATTTAGATTTTTTCCTACATTTTTGTCATTGTAAGCAATGCTGGCATGAACATCCTTATAGGCTTTGTATATGTCTCTAATTAGTTCCTTAAGCTAAAATCTAAGAAATTGAATTTCTGGATTAAAGGACATGAAGAATTCTAAGGCCTTTGATTTATATAGTATCTTTTAGCAAATTGTAATACATTTACACTTACACCAGCAGTGTATGAGTGAGCCCATTTAATTCTTTAATTTTTAACTTTATATATTTTTGATAATGTTTTGACTTTTCCTGTCTTTTTGAACTTATTTTGCAGCTTTTTGATGAAACACAAGGAAAACCCGCTGTTGCAGTGATAGATAATGGAAGAGGAATGACCTCTAAACAGCTTAACAACTGGGCCGTGTATAGGTTGTCAAAATTCACAAGGCAGGGTGACTTTGAAAGGTTAGAAAACCTTACTCACTTTTTTGATGGGCAACTGGGAATTTTAATAAGGGCTTATAAGAACTCTTAATGTTTCTTTAGTTGTACATGGTGTGTTGGAGGTTGACATTATCAGTATATATGTTATCAGCACATATACTTAGATTTTTTACATAATATGTTTATTATCGATAGAGACGGTCAAAACTACATAATATTATGTTCTTCCAATTCTTTTTGCATTTCCTAAGATACGTAGGGGTTATCATGATATCTTAAGTACTTTGGAATTTTCCCCCTTTCCTTACTAAAGTTTGATGAGAGCTGTTTGGCTACTAGTGCAGTAGGATGGTTTTATTTTTTAATTTTTTTTAAAGATTTTAATTATTTATCCATGAGAGACACAGAGACATAGGCAGAGGGAGAAGCAGTCTCCCTAAGGGGAGCCCAATGTAGGACTTGATCCCAGGACCCCAGGATCACGACCTGAGCCAAAGGCAGACACTCAACCCCTGAACCACCCAGGCTCCCAGTAGGATGTTTTATTTTTTTATTTTATTTTTTAATTCTATTTATTTATTCATGAGAGACAGGGGGGAGGGGTGGGCAATGGGAGAAACAGGCTGCATGCAGGGAGCCCGATGTGGGACTTGATCCCAGGTCTCCAGGATCACGCCCTGGGCAGAGCAGCGCTAAGCCGCTGAGCTACCTGGGCTACCTAGGATGGTTTTAAACTAAGCTTTAGAAATCATCTGATGCCACTTGCAAAGTGTCTAAATGAACCACGTTTGTTCTCTTGAGCTCTCTGTTGCTTTTCTTTTTCTTCTTTTTTTTTAAATATTTTATTTATTTGAGAGAGAAAGTGGGGAGAGGAGCAGAGGGAGAGGGACAAATAGACTGCACTGAGTGCAGAGCCCAATACAGGGCTCAATCCCATGACCCTGAGACCATGACCTGAACCGAAATCTAGTGTTGGGCACTCAACCAACTGAGCCACCCAGGCACCTTTCAGAGCTCTGCTTTTTATAGAATATTCATAGCTGTTAGGGAATAGAGTCTAGTCAGAAGTTTTGTATCAGAATATGCTTGTAGAAAATACCTGAATGAGGATGCCATAGGGGAATTAAAATATACTGGAAGTTGTGAGGAATATAAAGATCCAGGTTTTTGGGATATTAACTGAATTCCAGTGAGAGCTATTTTTACCTATGTCATGTACTTCAGGTAACATACTTGGGAAGAATATGTTGGTATTCTTATTAAGCAATGTTTGTTTATGTCTTGTTTAGCTCTTTATTATGTTAAAGAGAATCACCCAAATTTAAGGATTAATCTTAACAATGTTAAAAATTAATATAGTTAGCACATATGCCTTCTTGTTTCTGTAATTTCAACACCCACAGAGTTTTTTTTTTTTTTAAGAGATGGCTTTCTTTCTTCTTTCTTTTTCTTTCTTTTTCTTTTTCTTTCTTTCTTTCTCTTTCTTTTCTTTTCTTTTCTTTTCTTTCTTTTCTTTCTTTCTTAGATTTTATTTATTCATGAGAGAGAGAGAGAGAGAGAGAGAGAGAGAGAGAGAGGCAGAGAGAGAGGCAGAGACACAGGCAGAGGCAGAAGCAGGCTCCATGCAGGGAGCCCGATGTGGGACTCGATCCTGGGGCCTCAGGATCACGCCCTGGGCCAAAGGCAAGCGCCAAACTGCTGGACCACCGGGGCTGCCCACCCACAGAGTTTTTATCGAATTTGTAAAGACTTACAATGTCATAGTAAGAGGCACTATAATGATGAAGGGCTCTGAAATCATTTGGCCTGGTTTGAATCTAGCCTTAATAGTTCTGTGACATTGGTTAAGGTATTTTACTTTACTGAGTTTCAGTTTACATATCTGTAAAAATGGATAATACCTCATAAGGTTTTGTGTAAACCACATGAATTCTTACATTGTATGAAGTCCTTAGGATAGGGTATAGTAAGACATCAGTAAATATAAGCTATATAAGCTATTATATTAGTTACTACTCTCTTATTCTTAGCTTCAAACTTCTACAGCCATTCTTTTTCATTATATTCGCAAGTATGTGCCACTTTAAGGATTTATAAAATATCCATAGAGAAGGCAAAGATCACTGTCTTTTATAGCCTTAGGATAGAAGTTAGCATGTAATAGAAATTATCAGGTGGTAGATTGGCAGCTTAGAAAAAATGTCATTTAAATGAAATGGAAGATAAAGAAGTACTATTTATAATGTTAATCTTAACCGAATTAATGGGACATGGACTTTGATTTTTCTCTAGGTCTTAGCACAGCCTAAACTTTTAAACTTTAATGTTAGGAGGGAAATTTTAATTTTTGATAAGAAGCTTGCTGTTGCTTTCGTCCTAGGTTTTTAGGTATTAGGTTAGTTAACCATCTGCTGTTGTAGCTATTATATACCCATACTGCCTTTGAGTCTGGTGTCAGTCCTTTGACGTACCCACTCTGATTTCTGTTAATTTCACATGCTCCTCCTCACTCCTCTAGCTTCTACTCCTATGGAAAAAATTACCAGTTGCTTTTCTGTTTCCAGTTAAGTTTTTACTGGTACAAAGGTGGATGTCATAGGATACAGGCTATGGAAGAAAAGAAAGGAAAACCTAAAATTATAAAACAGCTGAGTCTGCTGACCTGTCTCTTATGTTGTAGAGAAAAACAAACAAAAAATTTATAAGCATGCCAGTTATGGATTATTGCTGTTAAGATAATATCAGATGATATGTTAGAGCCTGATGGACATCTTTTAAGGTAGAATTTTTTGGCTCTTATTTCTTCAGATAATCTTTCCTTCTTTGGCTCATGTTATCGATATATCAATATGCTTGATAGTGTTCTATATGTCTCTGAGGTTCTGTTCATTTTGCGTCATTCTTTTTTCTTTTTGTTCCTCAGACCGAGTCTCTCAACTGACCTCTATTTAAGTTCACTAATTCTTTCTTCTCCCAAATCAGATCTCCTCATGAGCCACTTAACTGAATTTTACGTTTCAGTTATTTTTTCTTTAAATAGCAGAACTTTCATTTGTTTTTTTTTAAAAAAAGATAATTTCTATCTCTTGTTCTCTATTGGCTGAAACATTGTTACTGTTCTCATACTTCATTATTTACTTCATGATTTCTGTTCATCGAATGCATTTATTTACTTATTATTTATTTTTAGATGGCATTTTATTAATTTTTTTTAAAAGATTCTATTGATTTATTCATGAGAGACACACAGAGAGAGGCAAGAGACACAGGCAGAGGGAGAAGCAGGCTCCATGCAGGGAGCCCTACATGGGACTTGATCCTCGGTTTCCAGGATCACGCCCTGGGCTGAAGGCAAGCGCTAAACCGCTGAGCCACCCAGGGATCCTCATTGAATGCATTTTAAAATAGCTGATTGAAACTTTTGTCTTGTACGTTCAGTGTCTGGGCTTTTTCTGATACAATTTCCATACTGCTGTTTTCCCTGTGTATGGGTTGTACTTTAATATTTTTGTCATGGCCCAATGTTTTTGTTGAGAGTAAGACCATTTGAATAATAAAGTGTGGCAGCTCTAGAAATCAAATTCATCCCTCTCCTCAGGGCTTGTTTGTTGCTTCTGGTTTTTGTTTTTGTTTTTTTTTTTTGTTTGTGTAGTTACCCCTCTAATTCTGTAACATCTGTATTATTATTTTTTTAAGATTTTAAAAAATTTATTTGAGAGAGAGCATGTATGAGGGGTGGGGGTGGGGGAAGGAGAAGCAGATTCCCTGTTGAACAGGGAGCCTAATGTGGAGCTTAATCCCAGGACCCTGAGATCATGACCTGAGCTAAATGCAGACACTTAGCCAACTGAGCCACCTAGGCACTCCTGTAACATCTGTTGTCTTTATCTTGTGTTATCACTGAAATCATTATGTAACTTAGTGGTCAGCTAATAATTGGACATTTCCCTAAATGTCCTGAACCATTAAGTCTTTCCAGCTTTTGTCAAGGGATTCTATCTGCTTATTGGAGTATGTTTTTAATGCTCTTACAGGAACTTCCTGGCCAGGAAGTTTACAACTGTGTCTTAGTCTTTAGTTCTTGCTTGCACAGAACCTCAAAGTCAGCCAGAAATGAGAGATTAGGGCCTTCTGAATGCTTTCTTGAGCATGTATATAGCCCAGTATATGAGTATGACCTTTTCTAGTCTCTTGAATATGTTGGAGCTTTTAAAAGTCACTATGGACCTCTCATTCTCCAGCTTTTCCTTGTATGTTTTTGGCCAGATTCTTATTTTCTCCTGATTATTTTCATTGCCTTAGTCAGTTCTGATCGTAAACAATGACCCAGTGAAAAAGTGGTTCATAATGATTAAGTTCTGAGTTAGGTGAAATAAAGACAAAGCCTACAAGTGGAGGTTCCTAGGGAATTGTCAGACAAATCTAATAATGACAATTGTATGAGGAAGGGGCTTTGGGGGAACTCCAGGGACTCTGGGGTGGCTGGTTTCCACCATCTATTACAAGGCTATCAGTTTTCAAGGCTTCTGTAGGGCTGGTGAGAAGAAAATGGGACAGGGCATGTAAAAACACCACAGAGCTCACTGTTCTTACTGAGATTCAGCTGTGTATCTTGAGTAAACACATCTTGGATTGTTCCAAGCCTTGAAAATGTTGATTTTGACAGAGTTTTCAGATGTTCTCATTGCTTTTATCAATGAGCAGTTTTTCATAGATTCATACTCTACCATTATGGAAGTGTTTACTTTGTTAACTGATTTTTGACACATGCATTCACCTGTGTAATCCAAACCTCTATTGACATGTAGAACATTACAAGAATAGAAAATGTGCTCATCATCACTCAGTCTCTATTATAATCATTGTCTTAGAAGTTAAATTAGATACCTAGAACGTGTGTTCACTTAATTATTTTGTGGAAGAAAGAAGTAACACATTAGGTCTGCTGGGTGGTCTTAATTCAGATGTGTTAGATTAGAGCTACTTTCTGCACTTTCAACTTGCTCAGCAATTACAAGGTT